CTTGCAAAGGAAGATTCACTAAGGATTGGTAGAAGACCCCTGAAAACTCATTTCTCTCTCAAAGAAATGGACATAATTGATGTTTACAGATTTCTATCAAGTAACCCAAGGTTTGAACAGTCTGAGAGATATTTACTCGAGAAAAGTGGCTGAGTTTTGACAAGAAAGCAGGTCTGTGCTGTGCCAACTCGTCCACTCCCATGCCCCTTGTCTTAACTCCAGGGCAGTCCTGTGTTTTAGTTTCTTCTCTGTTGCTGCGATATATTAACCCAAATAAAGTCCAGGATAGTGGAAAGGGGCCTCTTTTGGCTTATAATTCTGGGTTATAAGCCACAATAATACATCAGCCAAGGCATCAGGAATTTAAAACAGCCGGTCATATCACACCCAGTCAGGAGCAGTGAGACATGGATTTGATCATGCTTACTTGCTTGTTTAGTTATGTTCAGCACAATTTCTCCAGTCTTACACATTCAGGACTCCTTGCCTTGGGAATGGTGCTGCCCACAGTGGGCTTGGGTTTTTCCACATCAATTAACTTAATTAAGTCAGTCCTCCAGAAACTTCCACTGTCAGCCCAGTGTAGATAGTCCTTCACTAAGTCCACCAGACATGGCCACAGGCCAGCCCAGTGTAAACAGTTCCTCACTGAGACCTCCAGACATGTCCTCAGGCCAATTCAGTGTAGACAGTCCCTCAATGAGTCCTCCAGACATGTCCACAAGTCAGCCCAGTATACACAGTCCCTCACTGAGACCTGCTTCCTGGGCAATTCTAGTTTGGGTCAAACTGATAATTAAAACTAACCATCACACCTTGAAGCTAGTATCCTTGGATGCCTGATGCTTGTGAAAGCCAGCTGTCCAGTGCAGCGCCGCTGGCGGCGGCTTGCAATACCTCTAAAGCTCTATCCCCGGAGCACTGTCACTGTTTGACCTCATGAAAAAGCTCTCTGTTCCCCGAGATCTTTATTTCATTCAGTTAGGCCCCATTCCTAGGTCAGTTTCCAAAAACAGGTCACTGTAATCATTTAACATCAAGCTGCACGAGAAGGTGATTCTCCTGGGGTACGAAGCTGGGCAAACCACTGAGAATGAGATGGGGCATAGGGGACTCTGCCACAATATCACCTATGCTTGTGGATCCAGAAGGCATGTGATAAGCATATGCTCCAGAAAGCCCCAAGAAGGCCATGGCCTCTCTCCTCCATCTGGTGCCGATGTGGGGCCTCAGGGAGTGAAGACGAAGATAGAGTTGCAAACTACCGGCATACTGAAGACATGTTCCAGAGTTCACGGGGTACATGCATGGCGAAGGATAGGAGGCGCATGGCTCCAAGGCTTTAAAGAAGTTTCTGTCTAAGTTGATGGCTACTGGGGGGAGAGACAGTTTTCTTTATGGGTGTGGCATCTTGTAGATCCACATAGCACCAGGTGATGGCCCCTCACCTGTGAGTATATATATGAGCAGTACAAACCAGGTTATCTTACAAAACAGGGAGATTTGAAGTTGGGAGGACATGGGGAAGTGGGATGTAGATCTTGGAGGAGTTAGGGAAAAGAGGGAGGGGTAGATATGGTCAAAACACATTGTATGAAATTCTCAAAATAGTAATATAAATGTGATAGTTAAATAAAAATGAATTCTGTCTAATTATTAGCTAACATCTAAGCTAGCTAAGTAGAAACTGTGAGGTCCAAAGGAAATTCCATTTCCCCAAATTCCAGAAGGCAGAGGGGACAAATGACTATCTACTAGCATATAAACGTGCATGCAGGCTCCCAGCTCCCTCAGGACCACAAGTGCATGCAGACGTTTCAAAGTCCACCAAGCCTCCAGCTCTTCTCACTGCCTCCCCACGCTAAACTCCCCAAGCTTCTGGGCTTCCCTCACAGCTGCTTACTCTCCTTATAACCTGCTATTTTGGCCATGCTCCCTCCTGTCATCTCTGTCTTTCTCTCTGTCCCCCTCTCTCTCTCTCTGGCGCTCTCCTTCTCTCTATGTCCCCTACCCCACTCTTCTCTGGTGGCTATATCCAGTCTGCTGGCCATGGTCAGTCTACTTCTTTCTCTCTGCCCTGGGCTCTCCCAGTTGCCTTTGACTATTCTCTCTCCTATCTACAATAAAAACCTTCTCCTTAGCTATACTGTGGAGTGGTCACGTCATCAGTTTATAAAGAAAGCTCAGTGACTGCATGTGACAACGATTACTGAGTTCATGGAATTATCCCAGGAAGCAAACAGAGCCACTTATTGTACTAAACAAGCAGCTGTGGCAGTGGACAGTGATGGCAGAGGGCAGCAACAGTAACAGCAGCAGCAAGCATGGTTGTGAGAAAGGCCACTTTAAAATGTACTTAGTTTTCAACCAAAAGTTAGAAGACAAACAACCGTGCTATTTCATTGCAGTCACAGAAGAAAAATGCAGATAAACACTCCCAGGAGGGGAATAGGATGTGTTGCATTTGTTAGACAAAGATTTTAAATTGGTTTTTGTAAATGCATTCAAAGAACAAAAGAAAACTGTGGCCCAAGATTAAGAGTAAATACGGTAAGGATGTCTCACCAAAGAGAACTGCAAAGTTTAGTAACTGCTGAGTAACAGTCGCTTGGACTCAGGTCAGGTTTGAGCAGACAGAGCAGGTGACTCAAAGACAGACAAGAAAGACCAGGCTTGCAGGAGCATTCAGTTTGTCCCAACACTTGGGAGGCAGAGGCAGAAGCAGGCTGATCTGTAGACCAGCCTGGTCTACATAGTGGCTTGCAGGACAGCCAAGGGTACATCCCATGTCAAAGCAAACAGACAGACAGACAGGTGAGTTAGAAATTACTCAGCCTCAGAAACACAAATTAATAATAAATAAGTAAGCATAACCTCAGGGATTTGTCTGCCTTCATTAGGCATATCAACATACTCCTCAAGACACTTGAAGGAGAATTGAGAAAGAATTAGCTAATTGTTTTTCAATAAAAGGAATGTAAAAGAAACTAAAACTCCAAGTAGGATCAATTTGAAGAGATTTACATTTATCATAATCACAATGTTTAAAAGTCAAAGATAAAGAGAGAATATTGAAAGTGGCAATAAAACCTAGTTCAACACATGCAAGAGTTCCTCCCTAAGATTAAGGGCTAAAAACACCAGGAATTGTTGACATCAGAAGACAGCAAGATGACAAACTGTTGAGAGAATTAGGCTGTCAAGAGAGAACTTTATATTAAGTGCAGTATTGTTTAAAAAACTAACAAGAACTTGAAACACCAAGATAAACAAAAATTAAACAAAAATGACTTCTTGTAAGAATTCCCCTGTAAGAAATAATAACAAATGTTCTTTTGGCCTGAGAGCAAGGGTAGCTAGCAGTGTCTTGACTCCACATGGAGAAGAAAGACTTCATTGTGACAGGCAGCTACACAGGCAACGGGAAAGACAGGTTTCTGTTTGTAACCTTTGCCTTTTCCTATTTGTTTTTAAAAGAAAATTTATGAAACAATGCTCATTTTATTTTTATATCTTGAGACAGGGTCTCCTGTAGCCTAGGCTGGCCTTGAACTCACTATGGAGCTAAGTGTGAAGCCCTGATCCTCCTGCTTCAGCCTCCTCAGTGCTAGGATTGCAGACCTGCAAGGCATGCTTGGCTTGAAGCACTGGCTACCAAACTGCTGACAGCTTTACAGAGCACAAAGATGCTTGAAAGAACGTGTCTTTGTCAAACACAACACTAGGCACAGAGGACTCATTCTCATAACTAACAAAGAAAACAACAAAGATGGCAGTAATGGAGGAACAGAGGAATGACACATGGAAGACAGACAGTGGACACTGACAGGCGTGTGTGAGGTTTACCAAATGAGTAATTGAATGATGTGGGAATGGATTAAAGCACTTATCAAGGCAGAGACCAGAAAGTAGATAAGAACTACATTCAAATATTTACTGTCGATTCAATGACATAGGTAAGTTCTAAGAACGTGAGGAATTTACGGCGTAGTAAACAAAAGAAAGCTGGGATAGCTATGTCAACATCAAAGAACAGGCTTCAAGGCAGAAAGATTACTACAGAAAAAGACATTTTACAGAGATGGAAAGATCAATACACTGGGAAGAAATAATTATAAACATATATGTATCCATAAGAAGAAGAAACTGACAACATTAAATGAAGAATTCAATAATTCAACAATATTAGTTGGAAACTTGGTGTGGGATAATATTCTTGTTCACTGTAAAGACTTGTCATTCATATTAGTTTAATTAAATGCTGATTGGCCAGTAGCCAGGCAGGAAGTATAGGTGGGGCTACAAGACTAGGAGAATTCTGGAAAGAGGAAGGGCAGAGAAGCAGTCATCAGCCAGACACAGAGGAAGCAAGATGAGAATGCTTTACAGAGAAAAGGTACCAAGCCACATGGCTAAGCATAGATATGAATTATGGGTTAATTTAAATTGTAAGAGTTTGTTAATAATAAGCCTGAGCAATAGGCCAAACAGTTTATAATTAATATTAGCCTCTGTGTTTATTTGGGACTGAATGACTGCAGGACCAGGGAGGACAGACACTTCCATCTACAGAAACTTCAGTATCACAGTTTCTTGTGTGAATGTTGTTGCTGTATGTGCACATGTGTGGGCAGGTGTGCCTGTGCCTATGCATGCAGAGGCCAGAGGACAGCATCAGGTGTGTGTCCCGGCCTAGCACTTTCCTCCTGAGACACGATCTCTCAGTGAATGTGGAGCTAGGCTGACTTGGCTGACAACTAGGCTGCCTCACACAGTGGTAGGGTGACAGGCCTGTGTGCAGCCTCTCCTGGCTTTTTATGTGGATGCTGAGATCAGAACTCAGGCCTCATGCTTGAACAGAAAGCATTCTTACCCACTGGGTCATTTGCCCAGTCCCAAGTACCACTCTTTCACTAACAGGTAGAACAACTAGACAGACGAACAGGGGAAAGGAAGATCTGCAAATGATTATAAACTAACTCAAACCAATTCCCTGACAGGCACCCACAGGATACTCCCCACAGCAGCTGAGCCACACTCTTCCCAAGTGCACATGGAGATTTTCCAGAACAAGCCCTTCTGTCAGAATTAAGCTTTCATAGGCTTAAAGAGATTAAAATCATATTAAAAAATCTGTCTTCTGACCACAATGGGATTAAACTACAAGTCAATATTAGGAGCAAATACGATAAACTCAGAAATAATGAGAAATTAAACAACACATTCATAAATGACTACTAAGTCAGAGAAGAGACCACAGAGACATTAGAAATACTATGAAATGAATGAAAACAAACATCACAACATAGCCAACCTCATAAAATATGGTGAAAGCAACACTTGATTGACATTTATACCTATAAATACAGAGTTTTAAGAGAAATAAAGATCTCAAATCCATAACTTGGCCTGCCTAGGGAAAGTAGGAAAAGAGAAGTCTAGCCAAAGAGCCCAGAAGGAAGGAAAGAATAATGGTAGATGGGGCGGGGTATGGTGTGGTGGAGTGTGGTGGAGGAAACAGCAAATAGAAAAGGAACAGGGGGAAAAAGAATGAAACCTAAAGTGGAATCTTAAAAAATTATTTTAGCTGTGGAAAGGAAGAGTCATGTTTCTAAAGCCTGGAATGAAAGAGGAGACATCACTACAGACTTCACAGCAATGGAAGATAAGGATTATCAGTTTATACCTGTGTGCCAACAGATTAGATAGCATAGGTGAAATGGAAGAATTACTAAAAAGACACAGCTACTTAAACTGACTTAAGGATAGAGCTTATGAGTCAGTCTATAATAAATTCTCCAGCCTTAACATGTGTCCTTCATAGTCACACGCTAAAGCCCTAGTCCTCAGTGTAATGGGATGGTCTTTGGTAGTATGGCCTTTGGGAGGTAACTAGGGTTAGATGAGGCTATGGGGTGGAGTCTCTTCCTGTATAAGAAGAGGAAGGCACCAGCAATCTCTGCCATGCTGAGGTACAGCAAGAAGGCATCTGACTGCCACTGAGAAGAAATCCGGCTTTCACTTTGCAAATCAGTACCTTGATCTTGGATTTCCTGCCTTCAGATGTGTGAGACATAGGCTTGTGTGGTTGGGCAGACATGTTGCTCAGTTGCTGCCTGCTCTTTGAGAGCAGGCTCCCCAGGACAACACAATAGACACTGATCTCAGAGCTGGCTCATTGCATTTCTTGGTTCACCAGGAGAGCTCACTGGACAGCAGTGCACTTCTTGGCTTGGCCTTGAGAATCATACAACATAAACTGTGTCATACTCTGCTGAGGGAGTCAGTCATTAAAGTCATAAAGACTCAGGGAGAGAACACAGAACCCCTCATGCCCCTCAGAACTACTGAAGATGAGCTTGTCAAAATAAAGTCCACCACTGCCACATATTTATGTGAACTGTGCAAGGAAACAGCTCCTATAAGATGCAGAGGGACTGAGTGGGAAGGCCACAAGTGTGCTTTGATTAGTAATCTGGTTCCTGGATGGTGACAAGCACAGCTACCTAGGATAGCTGTGCAGGCTGGATTTTCAACTACTCCAGAAGCATTGTGAATTACAGAGATTTCCCTGAGTGGTGTGATGCGGCCACCTGCATAAGCTGCATCTAATACAGATGTCCATTGTATTAGAATATGATATAACATACTAAGACAACAAACAATAGAAAATAAAATACAAAATAAATAAAGAGGATAAGAGAGGAGAGGATAACAAGCTTTGGGCGCTGAGATGGTAAAGAGGACTTCCTGGGAACGGTTCTGAGACAGCCAGCTCTCTGGAGAGATTGATGCTTCACAGAGTGCATGGTGCCAGAGCACTGCTCACTTGGAATGGGCCCATCTTCCTTTCTGGGAACCTGCAGGGGTAGGCTCCGAGGACTCGGTTTGTGCTTCATGATTTGGTCCTCTCAGTGGATAGCCTCCTTCTACCCACAGGGAGGAAGGTATGACTAACTCAGGCCTGCAGGCTCGTTCTCAACATTTCCAAGCTGGACTGAAGAAAGATGCACCCTCTGTGTGGCTGTGAGTGCCAGGAGCTGAGATGTTCTGAGGCCTGGTTACCAGGCAACATCCAAGGGAGACAGCTGGTCCGTCGGAGAGAAGCAGCTTTCGGCTCCTGCCCTTCGTTCGGGTACATGATCCCGACATTCTCGTAGCAGCTTTCTTGTTTGGTCTAGCCTGGTGAGGTTTAGTGCAGGGAACGCTGACACACTCCTAGAGTCTAGCGCTTGAGAAGTGGAGGCAGGAGGGCCAACCTTAGCTATATGAGACACCATCTTGAAGGTGAGGATGTAATTATTTCAATAGACCCAATATAAACGATAAATGGATGTTTACTGGGGAACAATTACACAGAAAAATGCAAAGAACCGTGGAAGCGTTTCTCCGCCCTTCCTACCGGAATGGCTAACCCACCAGAAAGAAAACGCAGAGGCAAACCGCGCCTCAAGCTTCCCTACGTGAGGCCACGCCCAAGGGGGTGTGGCCACCGCTACCCGTTCACTGCAAGACCGCTACACTGTCTGAAACCACAACAAAAACTAAACAAGCAAAGATTGTGATGTCAAGAAACCACATAGAGGGGTGGAGAGATGGTAAGAACGCTTGTTGCTTTTCTGGAGGACTGGGATTTAATTCTGAGCACCCATTTGGTAGTTCACTACGGTCTGAGACTCCAGTTCCAGGGTTTCAGATGCCCTCTTCTGGCCCTTGAGGGTACCACACGAATGTGGTGTACAGACACAGATTCAGCCGGAACACTTACCGTAAAATAAAAATAAATAGGTCTAAAAACACAAAAGAAAAAGAAACCACACAGCAGTGACCAAGAATGGCTCCAGCGGCCACGTAGCACAGCTTTATTATTTGCCAGCGCTTAGTTCCGAAGTAGGAACATTTGGTCGTCATCTTGTGAGGCGAGGGCACCTTGTTCATGCTTTCAGTCAACATCTATTGAGCACCTACTGTCTGCTAGACTTTTCTAACTTAGCCCAGATTATTTGGGGGCGGTCAAACCTGCAAGGATACAGACCCTCATGGAGCTTAAGTCTGGTGGAGAGGCGTGGTGCAGCAAAGCCAGGCCCCGCGTCAGCGGTGCAGACATCCTAACAAGTTCGCCGGAGGATGCTAGAAGATGCTATGAAAAAACAATGGAATGGGAAGAGTCCGGAGCTGCTGGCTGGAAGGCCCTTCTGAGGAAGGCCTGATGGGTAAGAAATCTACCAGGTAAGAATGAAGTGACATTTGCGCTCTGCCGGAGAAGCAGGGGGGAGGGCAATGGTGGCGAAGGCAGTGTGCCAGGCACAGTCCTCACAACTACCTCCTTCTATGAGGTCTTTTGTCTTCCAGCACGGGCAACCGAGGCACAGAGAAGTTAAGAAACCTGCTGAAGGTCACACAGCTGCAAATGTGGGGACTGTGTTCCATAGCAAGAGAGTGACTTGGAGGTAGAAGCTGGAGGGTGATGTCCAGAAAGATGAGGTGCAGCGGGCGGGGGAAGGCGTTGCAGTTTTAGTCTACGTGTCATGGGGAGCAATTGATGATATGTAATCAGGAGAGGGTATGATCCAGTGTGTGTCCTAAAAGGCCAGTGGTGAACTTAAAAACGATCATGCTTTATGATTACAAAACTTACATCTGCTCTTTTGGAAAACACAGAAAAGCACCGAGGAGAATTTATTTATTCTAACCTCTGGTCTGACGCTCAAAAGCATCACGGATAACCTGGGAATATGGCCTTGCAGCCAGTCACTAGCCAATATTCATATTTAATAGCATTCTTGGAATGATTACACTGCACACATTGTCCCATCAAGCATGACTTAAGGAAATATCGTATCATGTGATGGTTTTAGTCCAAGCCTTTGCAGGAAGAGGCAGGCACTGGTGGGAAGGAGCTGGAAAGGGGCTGGCTGCTGCTCTGACTGATGAGCCCAGCGGGAAGTTGGGTCCTGTCCAGGGCACAGGTCTAGGTTGTCACTTGGAGACTGCTTCTGAGCCCCGAGTGGCCTCCTTAGAGCTTCAGTTCCGGGATTCTCTAGGAGCAGACCTGTGCTAAGACCTCGTTTCCCTCCGCACACCTGACCATCAAAGGGCAGCTGTCCCATGCAGCTCCCAGGGTGGGGACTGGTCCTTCGGGGCTGCTCTAGGTACCTCTTGAACCTTCATCTTCCCTTTTGCCTTCACAGGTCGGGACGGGATGAGGCCTGGTGAGTCTGGCTGTTCACAATCATGGTAAGCCACCAGCTTTGCATGCACCCGCATCGTGTTGATGAATCCTACCCACCATCCTGTGGCTCACCGAGGCTCAGAAACCAGAAGGTGATAGAGCCACCCTGTGTGAGGATGTCGGATGCCACATGCTTAGCTGCTTCTTCATAAAACCCATGTCACCTCTATGCTAACTAACTTCCTGTTCTGTTTGGGGCAGGAGTTTATTTTCTCGATGCTGCTCTGCGACTGGGCCGGACCCAGTCACAAAGAATGAACATAGGCTCGAGGAGAGGCTGATCAGGCCCAGTGATCGCTGTATTTATGATCTGCAGATGATGGGGAGGTACACAGAATAAAGACCTATGGCACAGGTCCCTCAAGGAGAGGAAGCTGGCTTTGGGAGCAGGGCCCTCAGGAGCACTATATGATCAGAGCTGCCCATCCTTGTACACCTTCAGGGACCTTGGCCACGGCTTTGTTAGGTTCCAGTAAGTTCCCCAGATCTGGCTGGAAAAATCTCCAGAATGCCAGGCCACCAGGCAGCTTTCCTGGGAAAGGCAGTCCCGTGCTGACCCCTCCCTCCTATTCATGGAAAAGTACAGGCAGATTGGTGCCCTTCAAGCCTGCAGGCAGATGCACTCTGTACCCCGCAATGCTGCCCCTGTACTCTCCAACTGTGAATGCTGATTGGCTTGTCCTTGGGCCAGGGCTGAAGGAAAATAGCTTCCCCAAAAAAGCAGTTTTTAAAAAATATCTGGAAAATGTCCACAGTCTAAGTAGGGGTGGGATGTCTTCTAGACAGGCTTGTATTGCAGCTGAGGACTCTGTGGTCCTCCAGCAAAGAGGCAGGAAAGGAATGTGAAACCCTACCCACGCGGAGCAAGAGGGTTTTTTTTTTTCTTTTTTCTTCTTTCTTTTGCCAGTTCTGATAGGGTCAGGCGTGTGGAGCCTGCTGGGAGTCTTGGCCTCCTGGAGGCTGCTTCCCAAGCCTGTAGTACAGGAGTAGGCAAGTCAGGACACCTGGCTGGATATCCCAGGTGCTCACCCGCCTCCCCTCCCCTCCCTCCTCCTTCCCTCTCCCCTCCGCTCCCTTGGGTAGTGTGAGACACAGTTTTTATGTATGCTCTCATGTGATCCCCTAATCTTGGCAGGACTGTGCTCGGCCCATAGCAGGCTCACTGACAGTACCCCAGAGTGAATGAGTGTCTGTGAGAGTCACTTCATCTCTTCAGGCAAGAGTTTTCTCACATCACA